GGAATACAAATAATATTATCTCTTATGCTGTACTTTGTGAAGTAAACATGTGAATGATATAGCCCTTGTGCTGCACTTTGTGAAGTAAACATGTGAATGATATAGCTCTTGTGCTGCACTTTGTGAACTAAACATGTGAATGATATAGCCCTTGTGCTGTACTTTGTGAAGTAAACAAGTAATGTGAATGATATAGCCCTTGTGCTGTACTTTGTGTATTAAACAAGTAATACAAATGATATAGCCCTTGTGCTGTACTTTGTGAAGTAAACGAGTAATGTGAATGATATAGCCCTTGTGCTGTACTTTGTGAAGTAAACAAGTAATGTGAATGATATAGCCCTTGTGCTGTACTTTGTGAAGTAAACAAGTAATGTGAATGATATAGCCCTTGTTCTGTACTTTTCAGCTTTTGTGAAATGATCACTAAAATTAAGACGTGCTAAAAATCATGTTTTTAGTCCCTGCGGGACTTATTTATAGATGTCTGTCTGTCCATGAATACATACATACATACATTACATCGGACATGCGCACAAGTTTCAAGACAACCAAATGACAGCCTATTTTAAAGCCAAAAATGAATGAACGTCTCACATTTTCATCTCTTCACTACTGACTCTCAGTCATGCAAGGACAGACTTGTAGGTTAGACACAATGAGACACCATTGATTTGATTTGAAATTGCAATTTTGTTTTAAAGAACAAGGACATATTCCATCTCTATCTACAATAGTCACTTCATACAGGCTTTCAGCACACACACCAACAAATGTGTTGATCCTTTAGCTCGCAGGATTATAGTTGTCACGCAAGACCACAAGTCACTTGGATGGAGTTGAAATTGGACATTCTGTTGACCCTTTGATAATCATTCTGATGTTTCATTTTTCTTTCAATAGAAACATGTGTTAGTCATTTGAAATAACATGCAGAAATCCATTTCACATGATACTTAAATCAAAGTCGATAATTCAGGTGCTTTACTCTATAAAGAATCAGTAATAATGAGACAAACTTAGACGAGCGTTCTCCGAACCTGCTTATTCACATAGTTCATACCCACCATAGACTCCGGTCAGTCAAAATGACTATTTTGAACTGTAGGCATTAATCAGCGATTCTGCCAGTGACGGAGAGATAGAATCTAGGTCAGGGGAAGCCCCATGACCCCAACATTCTCTTCCCTTACGTCATGAACCACGTGACCGAGGCCATATGGCAGCGCCATTAATGGCTGGACAATCACTCTGGCTCCTTTCTCTCTGCCTCAAGAGTGGGGTGGTTGGGGGGCCCTTAGTCTATGGTGGGTATGAACTATGTGAATACGCGGGTTCGGAGAACCTTCGCCTAAATTCACTACGTTCAATTACCCACCATAGATTCCAGTCAGTCAAAATGACTATTTTGAACTGTAGGCAGAGTCAGACGCCGATAAGTGGCGGGTTTTCCGAGCAAACAGAAAATGATGAAAGTCTTTTCCTAGTCCGGGATGAAACATTCTACAGTAATCACTCAACACCTTAGTTAAGACCCAAAAAGGGTTGTGTCTTACCTTGCCTGTGCTGTCCCCTGAGCAAGAAGCCAAAATGCTGCTATGATGACAGGGTTCGGTGTGCCTGAGAAAGCTAGACCCCAACCCAATTCTGGGGGTAGTAAGCTTTCAAAGTAAAGACCGAAACAGTTCTGCATGAGGGCATAGGCCACAAAGCGGGACCTGGAAGCTTCCAGGGGAGTGCTGATGGTAGAGAAATCTGTCTGCAAAAAATGCAGAGACTGGCTTATTGCCTATGCATAGGGACCCTTGTGGTCGTTCGGGCTGGGTCAGCAAACCAAGACTGACCCGCTACGACGGGACCCAACCTAAAGAGACGCTCCTCAATGGATTCGGTGTCTCTTAGGTGGTAGTTG